GTTGAGAGCAGCCCTGAGAAAAAGGACTTGGGAGTGCTGGTGGATGAGAAGCTCAACATGAGGCGGCAATGTGCGCTGGCAGTCCAGAAAGCCAACTGTATCCTGGGCTGCATCCAAAGAAGTGTGGCCAGCAGGTTGAGAGAAGTGATTCTGCCCCTCTGCTCTGCTCTCATGAGACCCCACCTGGAATACTGTGTTCAGCTCTGGAGTCCCCAGTGCAAGAAGGACATGGAGCTGCTGGAGCAAGTCCAGAGGAGGGCCATGAAGATGATGCAAGGGCTGGAGCCCTTCTCCTATGAAGACAGGCTGAGAGAGTTGGGGTTGTTCAGCCTGGAGAAGAGAAGGCTCCAGGGTGATCTTATTGCAGCCTTCCAGTACTTAAAGGGGGCCTACAGGAGAACTGGAGAGGGACTTTTGACAAGGGCGTGTAGTGACAGGACAAGGGGCAATGGCTTTAAATTGAAAGAGGGTAGACTTAGATTAGATGCAAGGAAGAAATTCTTCACTGTGAGGGTTGTGAGACACTGGAACAGGTTGCCCAGAGAAGCTGTAGAAGCCCCATCCCTGGAATTGTTCAAGGCCAGGTTGGATGAGGCTTTGGGCAACCTGGTGCAGTGGTGGATGTCCCTGCCCATGGCAGGGAGGTTGGAACAAGATGATCTTTGAGGTCCCTTCCAACCCTAACCATTCTGTGATTCTATAACAAATTTTTATTCTTGACTCTGTAGAGCTGCTAAACATAGTATCTTAAGATTTCATTATGTTCAGTGGTTGCTTTCTTCTATCCTTATCTTGGTGTTTTCAGAATCTTTTAACCACTGAAGGCGCATGAATGTTGGATTGAGTTTTTTTTTAGGAGTAGGGTGGGGTTAATCCATCTGCTGTTGATGTTCAGGGGAATGGCAGGTTTACTCCCAACATTGTGGCCTCTTAATTTCTTTAAAAGATGATTTTCCCTTTTTGATGTACCAATTTTATGTGCTATTAAAACTGTTTCAGACAGCACCAACAGAAAAAAATTCTATAATTCCTTAGCTTCTTGAGATTTGTTAATCTATGTGCTATGTAAAAAGGTATCTAATCCTTCTTTCTTCAGGCTTTTAAATACTGCGTTCTATATACTGTAATAAAAGAACATTATCTTTGTCAAATTAGCCATTCATAAATTACGGAATGCTACAATGAGTTGTTTATGGTCAAGCATATTAAGTACATGAGCTGCTGCTTATGGGTTTTTTCCCTCTGTGCTGTTCGTTGTGCAGGATGGACAGGATTCAGTGAGTGGGAAACTATTAAACGTGTTTCTGCTCTTCTCATTCAGCTTGTATGTTGTGCTGCATGTATTGCACATCATGCAGTTTTTCCTCTGAATAAACACAATTGGTTTTGTATTTTCTTGCTCTCAGTGCAAGTATTTTAAAAACACTTTAATCCTATTAAAGCTATTGAACTTCTTTTAAATACAGAAATTGGACCTTATGTTGGCTCATCAGTGCCTTGCTGCAGGTGTTGCAAATGAGGCAGTGTGTTGTTCTCCTGCCAGGGAGCACACAGGAAAGTACCTTTGCAAACGGGGATTGACCCTGTGGCAGCATGGAACCAGTGCAGTGTACCTGCCGAAGGAATTGAACCTCAGTGGCGTTTTAGAGAAAATGAAGCTCTGCCTGTTTTTCTCTCCTCTGTAGGAATATGGGAAACAATAGAAAAAGTGTTGCTGAGGTAGACGAGGACAATTGCTCAAAGTATCGCTCAGCTAATACAAAGAAGTTCCTAGTTTTTTTTCTAGGCACTCAAGCTTGACCATATTTTTTTTTTTTTTAACTGAAAGCAAAATGTGATAGCAATAGTGATGTAGGGTTATACAGGAATGACTGCTGAAATATCAGATCTCCCAGTCTGATAGACTTTCGACACATTGTATGTTTCTCTTTTTTAACACAAATTATAGGCAACAAACAGCAGGCCAGGCCCGTGCCCTCAGATATCGCGGTGATCATGTACACAAGTGGGTCCACAGGGATTCCCAAAGGAGTTATGATCTCCCATTGCAACATAATTGCTGGGATAACTGGAATGGCTGAGAGGATTCCAAATCTGGGGTAGGTACAAACAGTTACTTACCCGCAAATAAAGAAGTCATGTAGTTGCATATGATTTTTAGGTTAATTACCATGTAAAATATTAATTGATTGATATTGCTTTGTCTGTGACACATCATAGTATGCACTGATGTCTGAGCAGCTTCCAGTACTGCATTAAATGACATGACTACTTCATGTGCTGTTTTCTCTCTCATCTTCTGTACGTGGGCAAGGCTGAGACACAAAAGCCTGTGAGGCTGCCTTGCACTGGAGTGGTTGAAAGCTTCCCTAAGCAGTACTTCCTTTGGTTCGTGTTGAATTCTGTGGTTTCTTTCTGTTTGGTGCAGTTTTTAATCTTGCCCACAGAGTTGCCTTTGTAACTGTAACACACAGTTAATTGTCTTGGGATGAGTTAAGTTAACATCACTCTTTGTTCATGCCTTAAACCCTACACTATGTAGTAGTGCACAACTTCTGGAACAAAACTCATATTATTTGAAATATGTTCTCAATCTTAAATGCGTTTTTCCACTTTCTGTAGTTCTGCAGTAAGCTCTGTGCAAATTTAGCTTAATGACTCATCTAAGGACCCTAATGGTACAACATAAACCTATCTTTTAAAAATTCCTTGCAGGGAAAAAGACACCTATATTGGCTATTTGCCTCTTGCCCATGTTCTGGAGCTGAGTGCTGAACTTGTGTGTCTATCTCATGGATGCCGCATCGGTTACTCTTCACCTCAGACATTAGCTGACCAGGTATGATGTTGATGTAAGCCCTTCCTTTTTTTTTTTTTTTTTTACCATATTACTGACATCAGAGCTTTGTAATAGTTATTTAAAAATATTACAGCAAATCTTCTTTTCTGTGATTCATGAAACAGGATATTGGTGGTTATGACTGGTACTCTGCACCAGTTTTAATTGTTAAAATATAATTCAAATGAAAACGTTTGAAAGATATGCTATTTCATTTTGTTTCTTATGTTAAAAATCTTGAATGTGTCTGCTAGTAAACTTGTTCTTCACTTTAGTCCTCTAAAATAAAGAAAGGAAGCAAAGGTGATGTTACTACACTTAAGCCAACCCTAATGGCAGCTGTCCCGGTAAGTAACTGAAGGATAAATAATTTTTTAAATTATTTTTAAAGTATAATTCATAATTCATTTTTTTACAACAAAATTAATGCAACGGTCATTTAAATAAAAAAGGTAGAACCTTTGATGTTAAACTAGCTTAAAATAATATTTTTAATGTTTATTTATATGTTGGGAATAAACATTCATGAGTGTCAACATTTTTCACAGTTTAAATAGCTGTGGGGATTAGATTGCTATTTTAATTAATCATCTGTTGTTCATCTTAGTAAATGAATGGAATAAAGATAGTTGGCTGCAAGCAGCTTGGAGTTAACTAGTGCTCCTGTTCAGATGTTTGCTTTCCTTGTTTCTGTGAACTTCTTGCTATCCCTTAGCAGTGGAAGAGGAAACAACCTGGGAGTGGGCTGTCATCTGAAATGTACCAGAATTTTTAGATGGTTTTCTTTTTGTTGTACTGAATTTAGGATTTCTGTTACTTTAACTTAATCTTTTTATGTAACTAGGAAATTATGGATCGGATCTACAAAAATGTCATGAATAAAGTGAATGAAATGACTAGTTTCCAGCGGAATCTATTTATATTGGCCTACAACTACAAAATGGAACAGATTTCCAAAGGTTACACTACCCCGCTCTGCGATAGGTAATTGTAATTTTATTTTTAATGGCACCGAAAAATGCTTATCGATATCTTACCACATCAGCAGTGTCTGATTTTTTTTTTTTTTCCCTCCTTGTCTTGGTTTTAATATTGACACTTTGAACATGAACAAGTCTGTAATGAAGTGTAAATTGAAACAACAAATCAGTAGTTTGTGTGATGGTTTTAACTATTTACTGATATAATTTAAGTGAGTGGTGTTTAACTTGAAACCGGTTGGAGATTCATTGCATTATTTTAGTCAGGACTTTAATGGATTTATACAATTCCTGAGTAAGATGGGAAGCCAGTTCCTACAAATAACTGTAGACTTCATGTTTTCACAGAAGTGAATCATAGAATATCTCAAGTTGGAAGGAACCCATAAGGATCACTGAGTCCAACTCCTAACTTTAGCGAGACTAAAGAATAATGTATATCGCAAAATTTATACAGGTTATTTAAATTATTTTTGAAGAGAAAATCACAAAACTTTACTGTCTTACTATGGCCTCAAAACATTTAACCCATCTTCAAATTAGAATGTGGAAACAAGCTTAGAAGTCTGTATCTGTGTTTTCAAAAACTTAAATGTGCTCCTTCAAGGTCTTCCTTAAACGCTGTAGAAGTTATTTGAAGATGGTGGAAACTTTCAGTTCAGATACAAAATTTAAGTACTCTGTTGTTTTGTTTTTAAGCAACAAATATCTACTTTTATCTTTACATTTTAGCCTTATTTTCCGGAAAGTACGAATGCTGCTAGGTGGAAAAATTCGCATCCTGCTTTGTGGAGGAGCCCCACTCTCTGCAGCAACTCAGCGGTTTATGAACATCTGTTTCTGTTGCCCTGTGGGACAGGGGTATGGACTGACTGAATCAGCTGGAGCTGGAACAATCACGGAAGGTTGGTGTTGGGGCATCCCACTGAGTGCTGTGATCCGTGGTGAACGCTCTGTGTGTATCTTTGACAGTCATTCATTTGGTGTATGCCACCAAACATAATTGGGGAATCCTGGGAATTACTTGTAATCATAAATGTATAAAACAGTAGGAGTGCTTATTTTGACACATTATGCTAAAGCTGGTGACCTGCGCATAGAATGAACGTTCTCATTTGTGCTAGAGAAACCTGTAATAGTGTGGATGGGATCTTGGCAATATTGCACTTACCAGTTGAACTGAATAAATTATTTCTAATTTTGGTGAATATATTGAGATGTTAGGAAAATTAAAAATGGAATGCAAAAGCCTGCACCAGATTTTAATTTCATATTACAGAACTTCATGGTTTCAGTTGCCTTTTAGTCCTAAAATTTCACAAACAGAAGCAGTCAGAGCTAGCTATTTTTTGGTAATGGTGTGATCTACCTAGGAGTCATGTGAGGAATACCTAAGATTCACTACTAGATTATGCCAAATTCTAGAACATGTCTTAAATTCCTTGGTGATCAACAAACTACTGTAATGTGGTTTTTATTCCAAGAGATCTTTGGAAATGATGACTTGAGTAGCTTGAGGGGGGGAAAAAAGTGGAACTGTAGTACAAATGATGTAGTCACCAGTGATGCTTTTTTGGCAAGGTGCCCAGATGCAGAGGTGCTTGGGATTGAGACTTGAGATTCTATATTAAAATATAGAATCCCTGAATTGTTATGGAATATCGCTACTTATTTCAGAGTCCAGCAAACACTACTTAAAGTTGTTGTGCTGCTTTTGAATTGTGATCCGTGTGGACAGCTTACTGTCAAAGCTGTGTTGATATGACTGGAGGTATCTGTAAATACAGCCATCTATTCTCTTTGCAGGATAAGAATTTTACCTACATGACCTTGATAGATCTATTGGTTTTCTTGGAAATTCTTTTCTATGAATTAAAGTTCAGAAATAGCTAGCAGTTAATTTTCACTAAATAAGATGCATGCCAACAAAGATTCTTCTAATCAGTTTTGGTATTTTTTGTTTTCTGAAAAATGCTCTTTTTTAAATTGTAGTTTGGGACTACACTACAGGGAGAGTGGGAGCACCTTTGGTCTGCTGTGAAATCAAGTTACTGAACTGGGAAGAAGGTGAGAATTTCTGTATGTGATTATAATATAGTGTGTTGTAAGACTTTTATATAGCTATTTTTCTATTGAGCTTTATTCAGTAGTAGTAATTAGAAGACTATTCCTTGGCTTTTTGAATTTTAAATGCTACTTTTACGTATAAAAGTTTGATCCTGGGGGAGAAAAAGGTAAAATAAATTTCTCTGTTGTTTTTAATCTTAGACGTATCTAGATAGAAGCTATCAATGTGAGTGGAGTTTTGACTGGGTTGTATTATGACTCTTTTTGACTATACTATTTATTTTATTCTAGTCACTATGTTTGTATATGCATATTGTGTAAATGTGTACAACATTGTGCCTCTTTCTGACTTAGATCAATATTCTTGCAGGACAGGGTGCAGTTCTTGTATGTTGTGACTTTGAGGTGCTAGATTTAGCAGACTTCAACTGAAGTGCATGCATGATATCTTTTATTGCTATTAGGAAATTATTTTAAAATAGTCTTCATAATATTGTTACTAATAAAATCATTAAAACATTGGCATATGGAATGGAACCTCAATGGATGCTATATAGAATATGTTTAATGAAGTTTGAAATATATTTAGGTGATGTCCTTGCACCGTAGGCTTTTATATATTGTAGAGTAGAAATACATAAGCTTATAAATTTATCTTTTTTTTTTTTTTTATTTGAGTTGTATGAAACTGATAGAGCGTGTTAGTCCTGGCAGAAAAATTGCATAGAGGTAGCATTTGCCCTCTGCATGTTGTGTGAATTTCACTGTTTGTAAACACACACATTAAACAGCTGTTTATTTGCTGAAAAGAATTGGAATCATCTTGTCTCTTACTGAACTACTTAGACAAGTGGTAACTTTAGCGAAGAACTTTACTAAAGTGTTTAGTTCTATAATTAAATAGCAAAAATAAGGGGAATTCTTGCTTTGGAATATATTTTAAATTCTTGTTAACTTAATAAAAAATGTATTTTAGGTGGATATTACAACACTGATAAACCGTATCCTAGAGGTGAGATTCTTATTGGAGGGCAAAACGTGACTGCGGGCTACTACAAAAATGAAGTACGAACCAAAAAAGATTTCACTGTTGATGAGAATGGGCAGAGGTGGCTCCATACTGGAGACATTGGAGAGTTTCATCAAGATGGATGTCTAAAAATTATTGGTGAGTTAATAAATTCAGGTGAACGTATATATATACATTTTTCAGGGCTGCTAAATACTGTAGTTAACAAAAAAAAAATCTGCATATCTTACACGGTAGAGCTTTAGGCTGCATGCCATCTCAGGGAAATTCGGAGATGTTAATGTAAACTTGATTGTATGTTTTAAAAGCTGATTTTTATAACAATTGCTTCCTTTTAAAACAGTCTTTACATTGCCTCTACTCTGTTAGTGAGATTGGGTAGTAATTAGAGTGCTAAACAAAGGCTAATTGAGATAGATAAGCTTAGATTTTATAATTTTGCAAGTGTAGAATTTGATTCAGTGAAAGGGCTCTTTTGGTAATATGTGCTCAGGAATTAAATAAGCCTTCTTCTAATCTTGCCATTCTTTATAATAAGAATATCCCTTTATCTTAAAGGGACCACTAAGGTAAAGGGGTTATGTGTAAGCCTGTGATAGGCTCATAATTTTGACACCTGTAGGCACGAAAGTAGGTGCCCTGTAAACTACCAGGTGTCTCTCTTGAAGTCCATGGGTGATTCAGGGTGCTCTTTAATCCTGAAAACTAAACTTCTTTGGTTTATTATATGAGAAAAATCTTAGGTCCCATTGCAGCCACCTTGCACTAGCCAAACAGGTCAGACAGCTCTAAAACTACCTTGCCTGGTCGCACAAAGCAGCATGAAAGTATAAAGCAAAGGAGTGGTACTCCTGGCTGCCATCACAGCTAGGTGGGGAAGGACCTGTAGTCACTTTTGCTTGCTTTGGACTACATACAATAAGCTCAAATAACTTGAGCTTCATTTTCAGTTCCTATTGTGTTTCAAATAACAGGTGGACTGTTACTCTTTAAATATGGATTTAGCCTGGAAATAAATAACCAAATATCACCAAATGGTGCATCTCCTGCCTTAAGTGTCTGGACCAGGTGGCACAAAATCTGTACTTCTAGCCAAACACTGGCTTTTACATAATCATAGTTGTCTTCCATCCACGTGCTAGTGCAGTCGTATAGGAGATACTGTTCTAAAGGCAGAAAATGCATAGAATTGGAATGTGTCTTTAAGTGAGGGAGAGATTGATAAAATGCAAAAATCTAGAAGCCTTTTATTAAATGTTTACAGTACACTCACCAAACACGAGTCAGCTCACCTTTTAGCGTTTACATGTATGTTTCAGAAAAGTACAAAAATAATGTCTGAAGTTTTGTGTTCTGTAATTAATGTTTAATTCCTTTTTTCCTCAATAGATCGTAAAAAAGATCTTGTAAAACTCCAGGCAGGAGAATATGTTTCTCTCGGCAAAGTAGAAGCAGCTCTAAAGAATCTTCCACTGGTAGATAATATTTGTGTGTATGCAAGCAGGTAAGAGGCAGCTGGTATTTTGTTACTGCTGTATTCTTTGTCTGTTCTACTGAAGCCATAAGCAAAATGAATTTGGCATATAAGGGCTCAAACATGTTTTAAGTCTCTATTTCTAGAATTTCCTACCTGTGCATAATACAGCTTTGCACATACAAATATACTTCAGGTGGTCTTTGTTTCCCCTTGTCATTTTGATGTTTGGAAAGTCGTTGCGGAGCTTCTGAACGATCAGAAATACTCTGATTTCTGGTATGACCAAAAAGCCCTACTTGATAACTTTGAAGGAGGCCAGGACAAGCACACCAGAGAATTGCTCAGTAGTAATAAATAGAAAATTAACTTTTGGTTTGTTCACCTGGTTCTCTGTGATAATTTTTTTGTGTTAACTAATGGTAGTCATCCTGTAACTTCAGTTTTGACAGTTTTGGATAAATAGGCTAACATGCATTGGGCATGCCACTGCTGAGAGAACTTCCACTGTATTAGGCTTTATTTTTGGTTTTGACCTGTTGGGTGTCTCATGTTTGCTGGCTTTGCCTGCCTGAGGTTACATGCCTGTTCTGAGCACCCTCTGTAGTCTGTGAGGAAAGAGGCTCCTACAGATGGTGATTGCTGCTGTTCTAGGATTGAAGTTCACTATTGAAATTGTACTCTCAAATTTGTGTTCATTTTACCAGGTCAACATAATGTTGGAGACTAAAATACACTTGTTAGACAGGCACTTGACTCTGATAGTCTGTATCTTGTGTATTACTTAAAAATAGGAAAACCAGTAAGCAATTTTTAAAAGTAATTTACAAACAGAGTCCAAGTACATTACAGATTTGTTTTGCTGATGCTGTATTTCTTCTTAATACTTTCATGCGTGTAATTTGGTATAAGCAGCCACATAATGCAGATTCTCCGAATGATTGTCCATATGCACATTTCATTGTGGGTGTATACTCACCTCTGCAGTGTGAGCTCAGAGACTTTTTGTTAGCAGTGCCTATGACCGCTCTTGTATCCTGTCTCTCCTTATGCTTTGCTTGGGTGATCTTGTATGCCAGAGGAGTCCTTCAGTTGTAGCTGTTTTATCTCCCACATACAAAAGGGCAAGGAAGGCAGACTTTTACAAGTGAGTTAAATCTGTGGTTTGACCTTAGATCTTGGGGTGCAAAGCTCCCCTGAACATGGTAGCAGGGAATCAAAAGTGTTTGCACAATACCACTGCTTCAAAATCTATGTTCATTGACCAATTCAGACAAAATACTCAGTGAGATAGGAATAAAATGTTTGGTGAAAGGAGTCATGATTAGTGTTCCTTCAGAGGAGACTCCTGCTGCCTTATCAGCACTGCACCCATCCAAGATGCATTCAGTAGATCTCAAGCATCATGACAGGAAAACGACTAGTTTAATTACCTGAGAAATTAGCAAACATGGCAAAAAACCCAA